TCAAATTATTCTGCGCTAAAATGCAATAAAATGTTTATAATCAATCTAGCTCAAAGGTAAAAATGCTTTCTACATCCATAGCCTGGATATCTTCGGTCGGTATTGGCTAGTTGGCCGTTGAACTCTGTACATTTTTCTAGTTATTTATTCTATCGTTTCTCTTTTAAAAAAACCCTCCACAAGGCTATGCCTATAAGACTAGGATATCTTTTAAAAAACCCTCCACAAGGCTATGCCCATAAGACTAGGATATCTTTTACTTAGAGCACGTCTGGTTGGTGAGATTAGATAGGATAAGCTCGTTTATTTTGACGAATCTTGTGCTTGTTAGCAATGATACAGGCCCGCGTCTTTTTGTTCGGCCCATGATTAAACAATTGAATAGGATATGGTGGGATAACACTTGTTATATATCCAACGTGTGCTAACCATTATGAGGGTGAAATAATAAGATAATATATCATGTGGATCCTACATAAAACCATGTATGATTGGCAAGATTATTTTGTCCAGTTTGGAGGCTAGGACCATTTAATCCCACCCTACAAATGACCACTTTATCCTAAAATTGGCATGCGAAATCACTTTTTTTCTCTTATAAGTGCATTAAATCACATATTTTCAGTAGCACTACCGTGTGCCCTGGCACATCTAGTTAGGTGTGCCAGGGCAATTTTGCAAGCCCCCCCACCCAAAAAACTAAAAAATTTGGAGAGTGTACATTCCCATTTTTCATTTTTTAATTTAAAAATGAGACATATTGCATAAATTAAAATATCATTAATTATTTTATATTAAAAAATAAAATAAAAATACCAAAATTCATATTTTCATTATCTATAAATAGAGACCACATTTGATAGGTTTTTTTTAACACAACTAATTTTTCGTTTTTTCGTAATTATTTTATTATACTGGACATATAATGAACATGTTACATAATAAGACGAATATGTTTTCAAATAAGATGAACATGTTACAGATTGAAATAATACATATTCATCTTATTTTATAACATGTTCATCTCATTTTGGTAACATATTCATCTTATTTTATAACATGTTCACCTTATTGTGTACGTAACATGTTCATCTTATTCTATAATATGTTCATTTTATTATGTAACATGTTCATCTTATTTTAGAAGTTCATCTAAATGTCATCTGCGAAAATGTAACATTTTCATCTTATTCTATGACGTGTTCATCTTACTCTATAATATGTTCGCCTTACTATGTAACATGTTCATCTTACTATGTACATGTTCATCTTATTATAGATTTGCGTCATAATCTTCCAATAAGATAAATTAATTGTAAAAATGATAAATTAATTTTGTTCCAAAAAATATCAAATCTGGTCTCTATTTGTAGAGAATGAAAAATTATGAATTTTGGTATTTTTATTTTTTATTTCTTGATACAAAATATGAATGATAATTTAATTTATATAATATGATATATGAAATTCATTACCCAATAGAAATGGGACACATGTCCCATTTAAAAAAAAAAAAAAATTATCTCCTTAAGAGCATCTACAATGCATTGGGTCTAGTCTTGCTTATGTGGCATGTAAATAAACCCAAGTCTTGGATGACATGGATAAAAGTATGTAAAATTAATAAAACTTACTCCAATGCAAAGAGACTAGGTCTATACTAAGGATGACAGCGGTTCGGGTTCGGATCGGATGGAACCTCAGGGCACCCAAAACCAAAACCCAAACTTAAAAACCAAAACCAAAACCAAAACTGTTTCGGGTGAAAATCATTCACCAAAACCAAAACACGCGGATACCCAAAAACCAAACGTATACCCAAAAAACCAAAAATATTATAATAAAACACCAAAGACAACAACATAAAACATGATAACTTAGAGAGTACCAGACAACCAGTCACAAATTAGCAAGTACCTACGTACAGTACAAGCCATAAAGGTAGTAGAGTACATAGCTAAGCCAAGCCATCACGGGAGACGGGGAGAGGATAAGAGGGAGAGGAAATTTCCACTTATATAGCTAGGGTTTTTGGTGGGCTTTTTGATGGGCCGTCTATTTTGGGCACCCAACGGAGCACCACGGGCGAAATATAGGATCCGCACCAAAACTGAAGACTTTCGGGTACCCGAAACCGCAAAACCGTGGGTGAAATTTGAGAACCAAAACCGAAAACTGCAGAACCAAAAACCACGGATATCCGAACCGAAACCGAACCGCTGCCATCCCTAGTCTATACTTGGGTCTAAAATAGACTTAAGGGTAGACGGAGTCTCTTTTTTCTGGCTGCCACATCAGCAGGACCCAGTTTATTTTTGTTTGCATTGGAGAATACATTTTTGTAGACTAAGTCTATTTCTTATGTGTCATACATTTTTTTGTGATTGAACCTAAAGCATTGTGGATGCTCTTACCTCACGTGCTTTGGAGGGAGTGGGGTGTATTTCACAAAAGGCCCTAGGTGTGCCAGAACGCACGTAAGTCTTTGCGATTTGGTCGTATAAAATTGTCTTGTGGGTCCCTTATTTTTATATCATATTTGTTTTTTATCTTGCCATTTTATCCTAATTTAGTAAATGTTTTATTGTTTTTGCCTTAAATTGCATCATATTTTTAAATCATTTGGCACAAGGTGTAAAACTAATGGGATTAAAATTGTTAGTTGTCCAATCTAATCCAATCCCATTCCCTAAACTAAAAGAGGCATAGGTATGAATAAATTTAGGGTGTTACTAAACATCACCCCCTCTCCCCTTACTACCTACTCTCACATTATTGGACTGTTTTTCCCTTGACATTTTTTTATTTAATAAAAAAAGTACCATTGGCCGGCAATTGCGGTTGCGCTTGGCGAAGAGTTGATCGGCCTAATCAGCCGACCTCCACCTTGTGTGACCAGTATTGCAGGGCGGCCGTGCTTTTTTTATAAATTAAATTACATGTTAATATTAATTTAAAAAAAAAATAAAATTATTTAAACTAATTAATAACAAAGTAGTTATTTGATATAAATTAAAATAAAAAATATAATACAAGAAATTATTATGTACATAATTTCTAAGTTCTAACATAATAATAATAATAAATTCTATAAGATAATAAATTCTTATTTATAACATCGTAATTGTTAGTTCTAACATAATAATAAATTCTACAAGATAATCAATTCTAATTTCTAACATAATAATTTCTAAGTTCTAATGTTGTAACAATAAACTTTATAAAATAATTAATTCTAATTTATAACATAATAATTTCTAAGTTCTAACGTAATAATAATAAATTATATAAGATAATCAATTATAATTTATAACTTAATAATTTCTAAATTCTTATATAATTTAAATAAAAATATTGATAAAAAAACACAACCAACCGGCAATATCGGCCGCCCGTATTTTTTTTTTAATAAAACAAAATAAAGGCAAAGCAGTATAGGACGGCTGTAAGTGGTAAAAGGAGCCGTGTTTAGTAATTTTATTGTATGATGAATTGATTATTCTAACGGTAAACAAAATGTAATTGTTTATTGGAAAATGCTAAGGTATCATCCCGTCAGATATTTTAACCATTGAATATACATGTAATTAGTACAAGATAGATGATCAAACAGTAAAAACACTCGATGGAATGGTACTATAGCATTTCCGTTGTTTATGACAAATGACAATACATATGAAAAAGTGAATTTTTTTTGTGAAAATATCTATTTTCACCCCGTTTTGTAGTCTTGTTAAGTTTTTCACACCGTCCAATAAAAAGTTAAGTTTTTCACCCCAGAAAGTGCGAAGGTTATGCGAAAACTGTCGCATATTCATCGCATAACTGTCCATATGCGAAGGATATGCGAAAAACTGTCGCATAATTGTCGCATATCAATTGCATAATTGTGCAAAGACATTGTGCGATAAATATGCGACAGTTATACAACTGATATGCGACAGTTATGCGAAAAACTGTCGCATAACCGTCGCATATCAATTGCATAATTGTGCGAAGGCATTGTGCAATGAATATGCGATAGTTATGCAATTGATATGCGACAATTATGCAGACAGATTTCCGCATAACCTTCGTATATGGACAATTGTGCGATGAATATGCGACAATTTTCGCATAACCTTCGCACTTTCTGAAGTGAAAAACTTAACTTTTTATTGAGTGTGTGAAAAATTTAATATGTCTGTGTTATGAGGTGAAAAAGATTTTTTCTCTTTTTTTTTTTTTAGCAAACACCTTTGTCCCCACCACTAACACTCCCCTCCAAAATCATCACTTCGTCATCATCAAAAAAAGGCCACTCGAATTCCACTCGGGAAAAAAGAAAAGGAAAAACAAAACAAAAATCACGCTTTATTTCTCTATAAAAATCTTCAAATCCCTAAATCCGGTAACTAATATGGCGGCCAACCAGCCGGAAGGCTACGGTTCCGATGACTTCCTCGAGCAAATCCTTGCGATCCCTTCGTATGGCGGGC